TATTACTCCACTCCCACTTCCTGTTGGAAAAATGCAACAAATGCTGTTGCCTAGCAGACCGAGAGGGCGGAGCCGCTAACAAATACACACACACACACACACACACACACACACACACACACACACACACACACACACACACACACACAACGACATTGTGACATATGGTACCAGCTAACGTTCTAGGGTACCTCTTAGCCAATAGCGATGGCAGATTTAAATTCAACTGCAGTGCAGAGTTTTTACCTGACAACGGCACAACACTGACAGTTTTAGGCAGAAAATAAACATTTTAACTAAAATGCACTAAAGTGCAAAACTACTGACTGCACGTGTTTGCAGCACGATTAGACACACGTTTATATAGTTTATCAGAAAAAAAAGTTGATTTGGGGGTGACTTGCTCTTTAAGAGGTCCTCACTTAGACGACTCATCTCCTTAATGAGTCGGTTTACAGCAGCCATTCTGGTTTCGCTGTTCTATACAAACACTGTTGCACGAATCAAAAGCTTTATTTTTCCTATTACAGTGTGACATTACAGACCAATTCTTTCAAACTATACTAACGGACACTTTCTGAGTAGTCCAACTGCTTCCGATGCGAAAGGCCAACGGCTGCCTTCCCTCCTTCAGTTGAAAACTTCGAAATGGGAGGGCGGAGTTTGCCAAGTCAGGCACAAACCCTGCTTTAGGTCATAAACACCTCTGCTTGTCACTCCTTCTTTTTTCTCTCCCACATCGGAGAGTTGGGTTTGCACTCTGTTAATCTTTCACTACAGGCTGGCTCGCTTTTACGCCGGGCCACTGGAGAACAGACGAGAGGAATGAAAGAGGGGTAGTAAACGACGAGTGGATAAAAGAGCAGGAAGAAAAAGCCATCGAGAGGGCCAGATGGGCACCTTCACAGTCCATTTATCAAACCCAATGTGGCCCTCCTCTCCCCTCCCTGCTGCTCTCATGTCCTAAACCCCCATGTAATTCTGTAATGATTTTCATTATCATATAATGACCTTACAAAGCCTACAGCAGTTTGCATGGTCAGTACAAAACCCGCAGCTGTTCCCTTCGATGTTGTGACAAAGCTTTTCTCGTGGCGTTGTTGTCCTTTCTGTTAGAGCAGCCACTTCTAGGTTCGGACAGGTCAACATAAGGTTATCTGATCCAGACGGGATTAAAGGGAGCCACAAACAGAAAGAAAACAACAGCAAATAAAAGGCAAGAAAAATGTTGAAGACCACAGATCTGAGCGTTATCTGTCCTTGTGCTTCCACCATGAATCCTTCATTACCTGTAACTGATTCCACAAACGTGATCTACGAAATTTTAAACACTAAAACATCCTCGGTGCCACCATGATGTGCCATCTCCTATCCTCATAGGGCTGTTCCCTGGAGGTTGTGGCTTGTTATTCAATCTTCACTTCCTGTGTGGCACACTGAGCCGCTCCACTGCAGTACAGCCACCCACCAACACAATAATCCATCTATTTCCAGGGTACTCGAGGGGCATTTACCGAAGGGACACGGGGTGCAGCATCTATCAAAGAATTCGCCATGTGCATTGGGAAAATCGAGTTACCAGAAAAGCTCATAAGAATAAAAAAGCTCTCATAACTTTGCAGGCTCAGAGTGAATGAATGGACTGCTTTTGCACGCACGGTGAGCACAGACATCACTCACTCTGAGTGCCTATAAGTCACTTGTGAAGAACTGCTGGTCACCGGGTCCAATTCCTTGTTCTTTCTTTCTTGCTTGTCCTGAAAACGCCCCAAAGAAAGACGGGGAAAAAGGCAGCAAGCTGGTCCAAGTTCCAGAGCATGAAGCGTTGCTTTAACAAGTGTTTAGGAAACAAAAGTCAGCAGACTTAATCAGTCAGTGTTGGTTGTGTATGTTTATGGGCCTCTAGTGAGAGACATCAATCTTTTTAATTATTTGTTTTATTTCTGGTAGATTTGGGGCTTTTTGCAAGTACTATGACAGCAGTAAGTAGCTTTTTAATCACATTTCTGCAGTTTCTAGAGTATTGTGCTGAATTCTAAATATATGAAAAGAAAATGATCAGAATAACTCTATAGACGAAACCATTTCATGAAAAGAAATGATGGAAATGAAGAAATGCATGCTTATTATCAGGGTGATCCTTAACCATCCTCAGCGGCGAAGGACTAATCAGCACCAGCAAGTTCCACTTAACATTGCACATAACCGCATGTTTAGTTTTGCACGAACACTATCTGCTGACAACCACTTGACAGGACGACCCCTGGGGATGATGAAGGTTAGGGATGGACGTTAAACATGAAGAAGGTATCAGGAGCAGCCAGAGTTCAAACATATTGTGCAGGAGATTCGCCCTCCGCCCAAAACTAATCTCATCTGTCTTCCACCGCTGATAGAGTGAATGTCTGTCCGTCCTGATGACAAGGCCAGAGCATTTCCGGGCCTGGTCTGTGATACTTGCTGTCGAGACCGTAGGGTGGGCCGACCAGAGTCGAGGGGTTGTAGGGGGTAATGCTGCATTGTGGGTGGCGGGGGTCAGTGCTGATGGTGAGATGTTTTCTAGCTTTCAGCACATTCAGCTGGAATGCACTATCTGAGCAGGACCCACATGAGAGCTGTGAGGCTCCGGGCGTCGACACGGCATTGCAAGGTGTGTGGAAACAGCTTGTTTACAAGGCTCATCTGGATGGAACACATTAAAGGGTCATCTAGAGGGGACGGTTCAAAACTAGAGGGTGCCGCTGTGGGATGAGGGCACCACCACACCAGGACATTAGCACCAATTTCTTTGAAAACAAAAAGGAAGTTAACTTGGGGTAATTCAAGCCCTGGGACGTAACCCCCTGTTGCGTTTTGATGCTCCAGCTTTTAGGATCCTGTCCATTTCAAAGTGTCTGTGTTTGCCTGAGCTCAGCACTCAGGTCAAATCTGTTGACAGAGACAATAAGCAGTGAAACATATGTCCACAGAGAGCTAGCTGCGTTAGTGTTCCCTTGCTGGCACTGAAGAAGAGGGTGACTGTGAAACTGAACAGCTAAAATAATACAGCAGGGCTCTGCAAGGCCCTTCGTTATCTGAATAAAGGGCCAGTGCTCTAATCCCGGTGCTCTCTGTTCTTATCTGCGGGGAAGGAAGTGAGCAAGCTTATCCGAGACACACGTGTCACTGTGATGGCTGCCAGGGCCGAGGAACACAAAGCAACCGCAGCGCTGTCTTCTGTGGAATCCACACCCAGATCTTCAGAAGCAAACATCAACTAGTCGCCCGAGATGCTGTGTGATGAACTTGGATTATGTTTCCTGAACATTCTGAGTGCATATGAACAAATTAGTGATAGTCCATAGAGGTTCCATCCTGTCTGGCTGAAGCTTGTCATGCTATACCAGCATGACCTTAACTAGGTGTCGAGTCTTGATGTCAGCCCTCTGATTTAGTTAAAAGCCTAATCAGAGTGGTGTGGTATACTAATATTTGTTGGTTAGAAGCTAAATAAACCGCTTATTTAGCTCATTAATTATATTTCATTTGATTTTATTCACAGTACAGTAAAAAAAAGGAACTTTTTCTACTTTTATTTAGTTTAAGACTCATTTTCAAATAGACTGATTTAATCTTTAGACTCATGAATCTACTCACGCTATCCTGTAACGAGAAAAGAAAAATGAAACTGTTCTAGTGGGCGGTTATTTGTCTGAATCTGGCTCTATATTTGTTACTCAGCTACTCTTTAGATGCTGATATTCTTGTGCTAATGTGTGTTTTAAACAATCTGGTCTCGTATATTTACAAATGTCTCTTGCATGGTCTTCTAAAAAAATGGACATCAATGAACATCTGCATAATTTGACTCTTCAAGCATCAAGGACCACTGATATAACAAAAATATGTCAAAGTTCAGCTGTAAATGTCTAATATGATTGTAAATTATGTATTTGTTGTGGGACACGGCTTAGGTCATGTCTCCATTGTTAATCTGTTCAGTGCAGAAAGTATGCTGGAGTGTTTGTTCTTTGCCCGATCAGACTAGACTCACCCATGATTTTCACATCTTGTTCACGTAAGATACGATATGTGACGTGCAAACATCTCTACACATCCCCGTGTACTGATCCAATAGAAATGTACAATGCCACCCAATGGAGAGAAACTATTGCATGAGGAGATTTGAGGTCCTTTTGGCTGATGACCATGAATGATGACTTCAGAGGGTCACGCTGTCTTGTTTGTACCATTTTCTATGCTTTTTCTATATAAACCAATTTAAAAGCAACCTGCTGAACAATGGTCATTTTTGGAAGTGTATGAGGAACTGAGTGTTACTGGTTTTCCTCCTCTGGAAGTAAAGAACCAGGAAATTAAGGTCCGCTGGCTGGAGATAATCCAGAAGGAAGAAGTTTTCTACAGACCTTAACAACAACAAATGGTGCCGAGACCCGGTTTCAGACGTGGAGGTTTTTGACCCGAGCTGCATCTCAAAGACGAGTTTTGTGGGTTGATCCTGGTACACGATGTTGTTGATAAACGGTGCAGAGGGACAGAAGTGTGCTGTGTTAAAAAAGTCAAATGTACTTTGGAGTAATGTGTGATAGCCATTAAGGAAGAATATATGGAAAACGTTCTACATCACCTACACATTCATCAGCTTTATATGTGAAAAACAGAATAATATGCACACATATTAAAGAGGTAGTCACCTCCAAATGAACTTTTTTTCTAATAAACTAGGAAACTACTTAGTGGTTTAACCCACCAATCCAACCCCTAGCGCTAAGTGTCGATCAGAGAGGCATTGGGTCCCCTTTTTAAAGTCGTTGGTATGACCCAGCTGGGAATTGAACCACGATCTCCCAGTCTCAGGGCGGACACTCACTAGGCCACTGAGAAGGTAAAAACATTTAATTTTGAATTTATTTGGCGAATAAGATCAAACACATCCTTCAGAGTGGTTTGCTTACAAGTGTCATAGGTTAAAGAACAAAGTACCAGGAAGGTGGTGTTACCTGTCTCTCCACGTCTGTCTCTGCTGCTGTCTGTCTGTTAGGGCAGTCAGCAAGATTTCTGCCATCTCCCTCCTTCCCTCTTCTGCTCGGCCGTCCTCCTCCACCGTCGACAGGAAGAGCATCGTCTGCAGTGAGATAGGGAAGTGATGTGATGAATGGAACCGAATGGAAGTAGGTGTCGCTCAACCTGGATCACAAAAACACACTATCATGGATGTAATTTTGGGGGGGGGGGGGGGGGGGGGGGGGGGACAGGGGGGACATGTCCCCCCCACTTTTTCCAAAGTCAATTTTTGACCCCTGCACTTTTTACCATCCAAAAACAATATTACGCTATATTAAATTGACACTGGTTGAGCTCTAGGACCAAGCGGAAAACAACCGTTTGTGTTGAAGACTGTTTCCCATTAGAGCATACTGTAAAGATACAACCCCCCCCCCCCCCCCCCCCCCCCCCCCCCCGGTGCCGCGCCCCCCCCACTTCTAAAGTGAAAATTACGTCCATGCACACTATGTCCTGTGTTTTAGCTCCATTTTAAACGGAAAACACATCCTGGGCGAAGATATAACAAAGCTTTTGCACATACTTATCTATTAATGGTGTGTTTAATAGCGTTGAATTAGGTGGAAAGACACTCTGAACCTTTTCCTACAACCCTTGGGCTTCCATCCTCAGTTAGACATTACACGGCTCTGAGCCGACTCAATTATAACATCCCCGGGATGGCAAGCATACAGTAAGTCTAGTATAAAGTCAGTTTCACATCACAGGATGGGCAAATTACACCCAATATTAGAGTGTGAGTCAATTAATCACGTCCTGCACAGCGCAGTGTAATGTGTAAGTATCCCCCTGTTGAACATGAATTACAGGCCAGCTTAAAGTGTGACGTGGCACATCACTGCTAATCAGAGACATCCCGGCAAACCTTCGCCTCCAAGTTCTCTACAGCCTCTAAGCTGGCTGAGAGGGAGTCAGACGAAAAAGGATCTGGCAGCCCAAATTAAATGCAGCGCTGTCAGCCGCACTCAAATCCCTCTTTCCCCTCTACCCGTCACACACTTCCTCCCTCTCTGAATATCCTTAAATGCACCCCCTTCGCCGAGCCTCTGAGAAGTGATGGATCTGTAACTGTGACTGACTCTGACGCCTTGTTAAGAACAGTCTCTTCCTGTCACATCCACCACTCAAGCGCGCTCATTTCTTCCCATTAACAGTGACTCGCCTCCCCAGTCATCCAACCTTCTTTTAGGGAAAAAAAGCCCCACAGTATAAGAGAACCTTCATTTCTTTTTGCTCTTCCTCTTCTTTAATCCCTCTCTGACAATCCACCTGTCTGTCTTAATTCGTGTGATGATAGCTTTGATTGTCTGTGTGTGTTTCCAAAGAAGAGGAGTAATATGCTTACTTCCTCTGCACCACACAGGACAGGTATCAAAACATGTAGCGCTGTGTGACTGATCACATCCGACTCGGAGGAGACACCAAAGATTATGGTGACCAGGAAGAGGCAGGACCGGCTGTACTCCCTCTGGAAACTGTGTCTTTCCGTTTGGATCAGACTCTGTCCTCCTGGGATGAGTGACATGCTGAGAAAGTACCAGAAAGTATATTCAGACTATATCACATTCTCAGCTGGTAGACATCACGTCGACGTGCTGGCTTTGTAGCACGCCATCGATGTTTCGAGCACAACGCTGAAGAGCGAGTGAGTCACGGTTGATCTTAAACCTCCGTTGTGGGATCCTGAGCTCGTGTTGATTCATCTTAACGATGGGTTGCAAATAGATCGATGGAGGGAAGACAGGAGGGTAAAGACAGCTCTCATGTAGTTAGAAACCTCCACAAAACGGCGTCTGGTTTAGACAAACGCTTGGGCGGAACCAAGTGCTTTATAAATCATAACGGATATTAAACCCTTTGAAGAACCGTGTCTATTTGTAGACATGCATGAGAATAACTTCACTCTGCAAATTCTAATCAAACAACGTTGCTGTCCTTTTCTTTCCACGGCAGATTCCTTATTTTTTTTCTGAAATGTGTGCACGTGTGATCTTATGTTTAGAAGAGCCAGTGCTGAGAGAGGCCTTCGGGTTTTGCCCCAGGCCGATCTCCGGGCCATTCAGACACCATGCTGGTTGTTTACTGGTCAAGCCCGGACTCAGTCAGCCTCAGCCACATGGTTGCCCTTTATCTCTGAGTCTGTGTTAGCACATATCAGCCCCTTCTTTACCTCTGTTTACCCCTCGATGACAGTAGCTGTCCTCACAGTCCACCTCTATCGGCCTGATGCTGACCACAGATGTCCCTCTGACCCCGGCCACATCACGAGGTGAGCGAGAGGACACTCGGTACCTTGGTACCTCTCTCCCCAGTTCCCAGACCCCAAATGCAGCACTGTCTAGTTTACTACAAGACAAGCATAAACATTTCCTTCCCTGTGCAGAGGCAGGATGGGTAAACAAACATGCAGCCAAGCTAAGGTGGTATTTTTGTTTGTAGAGAGCTGGAGTGATGATGGTGTTCCAAACGAGGGCTGGCTGGGGGGCAGCCTGGGGCAGCTCACTAACACCTCGAGCCAGGACTGCATCTTAACACCAACAAGCATCTGTCTATTCTATCACATTTCTATTCAATAACAACATGTCACTCATTCAAGACAGAATAACACAATGGGACGGCTGTTGGTGCACGCAGTGCAACATGATGTAAGCCTTCACAGGATAACTACCTCCGCTTACGTAATGGCTGGGAAGTTTTAAAGGCAGCGCATTTTAAAAAATGATGCATGTCTGACTCCATAAAACTCGGCTACTAACTGACCACCACAGCATCTGAGAAACTATCAAATGCCAACGCCGACTTTAGGCCAGGGCTTTCAGGAGGGGACACAAAGTACTCTTAAGTTCTCAGTAATACAGGAAAACTTCAACATCTGCAGGACAAGCCTGACCTCCTTATTACCCGGTTTAATAGATGGGGACTCTTCTAGACCAGAATAGACCGACTCGGTGACAGATGGCCACCTACAGAAAAATGCGGTAAACAAACACCAAATATTTCTCAGTTGCAGCTGGTGACTGGGGTTAATTCACCACAGTGGTGCCAACCCTCCAGAGAGCACCTCTGTCCGTCAGATCAGCCGTCTCAATGCCTGTCTCTTTGACACGTCAGTGTGTAACAGCCCAGCAACATGCCAGCAAACTTCCTGTCCTTATGTTCGCCTACGTGTCTCTGGGCCAATATGGAGGCAGGAATGGCACTAACTAGTAATCCTTTTTTTTTTGTTTGGGGCTGCTGAGCAACGGCAGACGGCTGTGAGTTATAGTGACAATCAGCAGCCTCTACAACAATAATTATCCAACCATCAGATCTGCACCGCTGTGTGGAGTCTTATTTGGATGCCTGCTGCGATGAAGACAGAGCACTCCAGAGAGAAATGAGCAGCTAAGATCATCTTGTGTTGAGGAATGATGGTGTTATACCTGAAGAGAAACAATGGCGTGCTTAATTCTGCTCAGTATCATCGCATCTCATGCAGCCTGTTGGCCCATGGAGTATGGCTCATGGGCTCGAAACAAGGAAGGAGAAGAAGAAGAAGAAGGAGAAGAAGAAGAAGGAGAAATCATTTCTATAGCGCCTCTCAAGATAAAAATCATGAGGCGCTTCACAAAAAAAATGTAAAAATATAAAAAAGCATTTAGAAAATGTTTAAAAATATGTTTAAAATGAGCAAAAATAGGCAATTGCGATTTAAAAGAAAAAATGGTTTCTTGCGCGCCAAAGCGATAATCGCGGGTCTCCCTCCTACTAAGCAAAACGCAAAAAAACGTACGTGTGAAATTTTGCGCTCGTGCACGTGTCGTGCACGGACGACCCAGCGACGCGATCCCAGAAAGTTGAAATATTTTCTACTTTTCATCGCCGTCGCTCGGTCGAGGACCAATCAATGTAGGTTTCATTCACTGGCCAATGAGCGGACAGGATGCTCCGTACATCTCTGAGCAAACATGGAGGAGAAGTTGATTATTATTATGTTTTATAGTAAAATCAGAAGTAAGATTTCACATAACTCTAGCAGCACCTTGTGAAACATCATATCTACTGCTTTATTAACTCTGAACCGCTTAAATAACCTTAATTCCCTCCAACCCGACACAGCCAAACAAAACAACGGAAGTTTCGATTTCGCCATGGAACAGAACGCGTAGACGGCTTTGCCGCTGGCCGCTGCCGCGGGTCGCCTCCCGTCTGTCAGGTAATAAAAGCGACAGCGACAAATTTCACTGATCGCGGTCGTTTGTCGCCTTCCGTGTGTCGAGCCCATTTTGAGTAACTCTGAGCTAACTTCACTTGAAATGTTAGCTCGTTTTTTATAAAGCTGACAGAGTTATGGACATGTTTGTGTTTGCTAGAGTCAGTTAGTTAGGTTGACCATCTTCAACAAACAAGGTTGACTCCAACAAACAGCACCAGATCTTTAAGGTATTGTGCACGCAGGTGTGACCCGTATTGTGTTTGGGGTGACGCTCGGCTACTATGACACTGCTATCTGAATATCTAAAATCCCCCGAGCTGCATACATGTTTGTGTTTGATCTTGTTGATTGCTGAATTAGGTTGAAGTTAATCATCTGTTGATGTGCATCAAGGGATTAATTGTGAGCGTTTCATTAAAATCAGTCCAGTGGTTCGTGAGATAATTTGATAACAGACAAATGAAACCGACACAGACCTGCTTTTTCAAAAATCAATTAACTAGTCCTGGTAGTAACAGAAAAGATAATTGAACTTTTATGTTCAACATGTCGATGAACTGACACTTAATGATGCTATTAATGCACTTAGAAAATCAAGGGAATGAGTCCAAAACTCTTCTAAGCCAAGGCCAAAAAAAGAAAAGCTCATTAAAACACTACCCAGAACGTCAACTTTCACATCCATGTAGTCAGTTTTCCCACGTACCGACATCCTCCATAACCTGACCTCCTCTTGGCCAGTGCATTAGGAAATGTGGACTCGTGCCACCGTTTCAGTCGAACCACTCAGACACCTGCTTTCATTGGCCTTAGGAGTGGGGGTTTGGCAGAATCACAGCTGCCTGCATCTTCCTCAACCCTTTAAT